TTTTTATTTAGAATTTATGTCTAAAAAAAAAATCAAATTAACACTATTAAAAAAATTTTAAAATGCTATAGTTACAATGAGTTTGAAAGTTAAACACTATAATATATTCTTTTACAATTTACTCTTTTCCACTCAAAATTACAAAATTGTATTTTGCAATGTCTTTTGTTATTATGCTTTACACAAAAATAGTATTTATGATACTCTCTATTATGTCAATTTAGTTTGAAAAAAAAAGCCACAATTAAGGGATTTTTTTAATAAATTTATATCTATAATATTATATATATTTACATTATATATATAATTTTATATAATATTATAATTATAATATTGTATATGAAAAATAATGTAACTATAATGTTGCTTCAAGATTCATCTTCAGTCCTCAGTACTATAATGTTTGGTCCAGAATATTTCATAATCCCTCTTATCTATATAAACCAACCTCACCAATACTCCAGCGAGCCAGAGCAAACATGGAGGACTCAATTGTTCTTTATTCATCACTTTCTCTCATTCTTCTCCTTCTTGCTTTGAAACTCTTCATACAATCAAAAAAATCCTACAAAAATCTCCCTCCACGCCCACCTTCCCTTCCAATCCTCGGCCACCTCCATCTCCTTAAACCACCCTTCCACCGTAAACTCTCCACCCTCTCGCAAAAATACGGCCCAATCATATCCCTCTGGTTTGGCTCCCGCCTTGTTGTTGCCGTATCCTCTTTCTCCCTAGCCGAAGAATGCTTTACCAAAAACGATATCATCTTTGCCAATCGCCCCAAGTTAATAATAAGCAAGCACTTGGGCTACAACAACACCACCATCATGACCGCATCTTACGGGGACCACTGGCGCAACCTCCGCCGTATCGCCGCCATCGAGATCTTCTCGTCTCATCGACTCAACATGTTCCTATCCATTCGGAAGGATGAAATCAAGCGATTACTTCACAAACTGAGCCGCTACTCCGGTCAGGATTTCGCCACGGTCGAGCTGAAATCTATGTTTGCGGAGTTAACTTTCAATATTACGATGAGAATGGTGGCGGGGAAGCGGTATTACGGCGACGATGCGGTTGACGAAGAAGAGGCGCGGAGGTTCAGGGAGCTGATTAGTGAGATCGTGGCGAACGCTGGAGCGACGAATCCAGGGGATTTCTTGCCGATTCTCAACTGGATCGATGGCGGCGAGTTTGAGAAGATAATCACGAGGTTGAGCAAAAGAACCGACATATTTTTGCAGGGATTGATCGACGAGCACAGAAGTAAAACGGAAGGTCCAGAAAGCACGAATACGATGATTGATCACTTGCTTTCTTTGCAAGAAGCTCAGCCAGAGTACTATACCGATCAGATAATCAAAGGTCTCATGTTGGTAAGTCAATTAAACCCCTTTTTTCATAATTAAATACACTAACATTTCATAAATATTAATACTAAAGTATACTTTGATATGTAGGCTGCATTTTTCATAATAATCATTGATGAAAGAACGAGGATCTTGATATTAGGGTTTCATTCATCTATAGATGATTAAAAGTACTTAATCGCATTCTCATTAGTTAATTAAAATAACAATTAACAAGTTGATATAAGCAGTGCTATTAACTATTAAAAGATTAGTAAGAATATTTAGATTATACTGAAAATATAATCTCCCTTTTTCAAGTCCATTTTTACCAAATTTAAAATTCAATTTAAGAGAGTATTGATATTAGCATTTTGAAAATAATTATTAACTGATAATATTTAATAAATTATAAATTAAAATAATTATCAACAATGGATACATATTACCTATTAATTATCAATTTTATTTTCTTAATAGCAAAAAAATTGTTATTACTGCCCTTCCCTTAAGCTACAAAGGTACCCAATGCATTACGTCCAAAACTTATAATATAATAACAAGAAGACTGTAAATCACTTAGCACTCCCAAGATAGTTTTGATTTCTAAAGAAGCAAAGCTTGTTTAACTTTTTTCCTTGTGACCCGAACTTTGCATCCTTCCCAGCACTTCAATGGCTCTAGCTAGGTGCCTGTCAGAATAGCTAAAGAAGCAGCATGTTGATTTGCCTTGAATTAATCCAATGAAAGCTTCTAATCTGAACCAAATAGTAAAAAATCCTTTCACTGTCCACCAGCCTATTGCAATTTTTTCTTATTCCTAGCTGCCTATATTGACTGGAAGATGGTGAAACTTTGAAACAAACAACATCAAATTCCTCCCTCACCTTCTTGCCTCTGAACAAGGACAGGCTTTGTTCAAAAAATTCAAGGCAGGTCCCACCCACTAGACCATACACTAAATGCTACTAAATGCTGCAAAAATAAGGTATCAATTTCATTTAAATAGTTAATTCAAGCACTCACGAAAATTTTAAATTAAAATTTAAAATTTTTAATTATATAAAAAAATTTAATTTATACTTTTTAAATTTTATTAAATATAATATTTTTAATTAATTATGTATAAATTTTTATATTAGATTTAATTAAAATAAAATTTAAAATTAAAATATAATATAATATAATATTTATACTTAAAATTTATATAAAATTAATTATAAATTTTATAATTAATAGAATTTAATTTGTACTCTTATGCTATAAGTTAGATAAATCCTTATACAAATCACCAATTGGTGGCACTACTATAAGCTGCATTTAAACAGCCAACAAACACCCTTCAATGATTCACTAGAATGCATGGATGCGAACCGTTTACTAATTCTTATCCTTGAAAGTGGGTCCAGGAACCCATTCACCAAGATAATGAGCTTATCTTTATCTGGTCCTTATTTTTGGGTGACATGTAGGCGATGTTATTGGCGGGAACCGACACCTCAGCAGTCACACTGGAATGGGCAATGTCAAATTTGGTCAACGATCCTGACATTTTGGAGAAGGCGAGAGTAGAATTAGACCGTGAAATCGGTCAAGAAGTTTTGATGGATGAATCAGACATTAGCAAATTACGTTACCTCCAGAATATAATATCGGAGACATTGAGATTATACCCGGCGGGGCCACTTCTAGCGCCGCATGTGTCATCGGAGGACTGTGTTGTCGGGGGTTATGATGTGCCACGTGACACGATCTTGTTGGTCAATGCTTGGGCCATACACAGGGACCCTGAGTTGTGGGATGATCCAACAAGTTTCAAGCCTGAGAGGTTTGAAGGTGAGGAGGGGGAGGCCCAAAAGGTGTTGCCTTTTGGAATGGGAAGAAGGGCCTGTCCCGGGGCTGGCTTGGCTCAACGAGTGGTGGGCTTGACTTTAGGCTCACTAATTCAATGCTTTGAGTGGGAGAGGATTGGAAAAGAGAAAGTTGATATGAGTGAGCGCAGGGGCATTACCATGCCGAAAGCCATTCCATTGGAGGTCAGGTGTAGAGCTCGTCATATAATGAACAAAGTTTAGGTAGAATGTAGTTGTTGTATTTGCATGCTACAAGGACTTCAAGGAAGGCCTACCAATTCCTTCCTTTCATATCTATGATTGAATGATTTTCAATGCCCCTACCCTTAAAATTTATAGGAATGGAGAAAAATTATGAGTAGTTTTTGTATTTGCATGCTACAAGGACTTCAAAGCCTACCGATTCCTACCTTTTTATATCTATGATTGAATGATTTTCAATGCCCCTACTCTTAATATTTATAGGGATGGAGAAAAATTATAACGATCTAATAATTAAAATTTAAGAAAGAAC